ATATTTTGCAGAGCAATAAATTTTGATTTTCGAGAAGGCATTATATAAAATGTCTGCTGCCCTAATTTATTGAGCAAATCGTAATAAAAAAGGAAAAAATGCCCTCAAACTGGCATGTCATTGTGATGCATTAATTTAGGCCTCTTCATTGACAGTTACTGGCAATTTAGAATTGCCAAAAACAAGTAGATATTGATAAGTTATCATAGAATTATTCTGACAATGGGGATAGATCAAAAGACAGTGATAAGTAACGACATAATGATGACCTATACACAAATATGTATATTTAATTTTAGTTGACAAGCTAGGGAGGATGATGACAATATCAGTATCATGACGTTATAATGTTTCCAAGGAGGCAATTTAGCTAGAACCTATTACCAGTGTTTGTGTAGAAGCCATCAGGTCATTGTCTGCATTAACTCTACACACTAATAACTCACTGCTTCCTTATCTGTGATTATATTCAACAGAGAAGAGGCCCTAAACAAGGAAGTTCCACTCAGGGCAGATAATATACATGTATATCTCATTGTATTATCCCCAAGTTGAATTTGTGGATTTATGGATAGAAATAAGTTTGTTTTATCTTCCCATCAATCATTTCCCCCTTTTTTTCTGAATTTTCTCCTCTTAATTGGATATAAATTATTTGCTCAATACAGTTTTATTCCCTGGTTAGTTGAGCCATCTTGTATATCCTCATCACTGCAATATCTTCATATGATTTGTGCCGATTTAATGACTAAAATAGTGAAGGTATTAAAAGACTTGTGATTGGGTAACGTACAAGTGATTTAAGTAAAGGCCACTGCTTAGTATTAGTGATTTGATTGACATGCTCAATTGACTGCCTTGCTACTTAATAGGGTGAATAGCACGGACTGATTTAACAAGCGAACAAAATAAAAATTGTAAATTAATGGGAATAATGCATCGTCATAGTAACCCTAACCTCATTGTTGATGTACACAGTATACATCCTGATTCGTTGGTTAAGTGTATATGAAGCAAACATTAGATGTATTTCCATATTCTTGTGCTTAATATTTCTAAATGAAATACTTGTAATCAGATTTTGTGTAATATCACATTTGCCCTTGTATGCACGTTTCATTTCAAATTGGGAAAACTATATAAATATTTTCATTTCATTGGCTTGTAGAATGATTTTTAAACTCAATTGCTTGCCAATATTTAATTATATAATATTTAGTATTTGCTTCTATTTGTGTCTTATTAATAAATATTGGTATTTAATTGAAAATGAAAGCTCAGTCAAAAGAGCAGTAAAATCTGCTTTTGAATACTTTATCAAAGCAGGGCCTATTTTGTTAATCAGTAAAATATCAGTGTTAGTCTATATTTGTTACATGATCTGAAGGGCAGACACTCCTATGTAGATGTTGAAGCTCGGCCATTATATCATGTGTGAAGCAATTGTTAAGTTAATAAGAGCCTACAAGTGATAACAGCTTTCTCTTGTAAACACAATTAATTCCCATCTTGCCGTGCATGAGACCAGATCATTCACTCTATATTAATAAAGAGGCCTGTTCATCAATAAACAATTTATCATGTTTTCTATCCATGCTGCTAATAAAAAGCAAAAATAATTTTCTTGCCACTTGGCTGAGAATATCAATATGGGTATTGATAGAGCTAAATGTTCAGCCTGCAGAGGAGATTATATGCCATGCCATGATCTGTTTGCTGCTTGGCACCCTGTTGTCTCTATGGCATTGACTTTCCATAGGTGATCATGACTTGAATCGATAGGGAGACTGACTAGACAGATAATGATGATTAACATGTAGTGTAGTCAGCTTCTCAGTGATCCAGTCATCCATTCATTGTTATTTATCAATCAAACTGCAGGTGCTGCTAATTACTACTGTACCAGTTTAAATTGTGAAATTCTTCTTAGTGGTCTTTAGTGTATGTGTGTGTATATGAATGTCTATCTAACAATTCAGTCTTAGAGGCCAAGTGTACTTGGTTGGGTACATTTGACTAACTATCTTTGTGTTTATTGTGTTTACGACTCGGTGACCAAATGCACTGGGGGAGCGGAGCATCTATGGATGGTATCAGGGTGACCAGTAGACAGTGGCTCATTATTCCCGACACATAGAGCTGGCGGGGATATACGGTAGTATAGTACAGTTCTTGCGGAAGCTTTGGTTTTTGTGGCATCATTGTCGCATACGCATGGCTTCATTGTCGCCTCAGCATCGCATCATTGTGGCATCAGCTTCGTGTCATTGAAAATTGAAGCTGTGTTCGCCTCTCTTATTTTGTGGCATCATTGTGGCCTCAGCTTCGCAGTCCCATGGCATCAACTTCAAAGTATTGTGACATGAATATGACATCATTATTTTCACATGGAAAGGCAGTAGAGAAAAAAACACGTGTACAGAAGTTCGATATGTAATCGATTTGAAATTAAAAGCGATAAGGAGAATAAAATAATATGACCAAGAGTAAAATGACATTTTAAAAAGATATCTTGTTTAATTATTTAATGTTGCGAGTATTGGGTACCAAAAACTATGTGAAGTACATTGCAATCTGCAAGGTGACGAGTGTCATATTGACTGCAAGGAAAAACGTGATAAATTTAAATCACACGATGCAATCGTCGTTCGGAAACACAATTTGCTATACGAAATGAAACTGTTCTTGTTATAAAATTACCTTATTTTCGTTCATTTTATTTGCTGGTAAGAGAACAGATTCAGATTCCTCATTTTGGTGGTATTTTTCTGTGTTTCGTTTAATTTTAGCCGTGTTCGATCCCATGCCCGGACTACTAATACATGCAAAACGCGCGAACGCCGCCTGGCGTTGTCGCCGGCCATCTTGATACAAAGTTCCAAAACAAGTGCGTACATTTCCAACTGTGATTGGATGGTTGTGGTGGCGTCGGTCTGGTAACATTTTACATCCAATTTTCAAAATTAAATCACGATCAGTGACCTGAGCTCGATCTATACGTACTTTAAAAGTATTCTCAAAAAAAAATATTTTCAAATAAAAACGAGCCACAGGCTGGTAAAAAATCGAATAGCACTTGACATGCAGAAATAATTTATTGGGCTTCAAAAAAAAAAGTGTTCATTTAGTTGTAGCCGTAAATATTTGGTGACCAGTCGATGAACAATTTGAAACTCATTATACACACGGAAGTCCTTCGATACTGAATATCATCGACCCCAATCTGGTTTACCTTAT